ATTTTCAACATTTTTTTTCTGGAAAAATACGCGAAATACTTTTTTGACTAGTCTACGCCAGGGACAGGGTTGGTGAAGCACTTATTTTTACTGTTTGTAACAAAACTTTTCCATACGGATATATGAATTCAGATGTGTTTGGAAATTATTCACAGCCCACCATGGAGACGGTACTTTTGATATTATGTTGCATAGTACATGACATGTAACATTTGGAAGGAATTCCTTGTACAGTTATGGTACGTAAACATATAATTATGGATGTTATTTGTGAGCTATAAGAGAGGGGGGGGGGGGGAGATAAGCTTCAAGGTTGTCCTAAAGTAATGGTGGCCAACAACAAAAAATAACAAAATGCTGACAAAACAAAAACCAAACGAGATTCTTTTCTAAAATGTTGTAAATCATGACTTGATTTAGATTTCAACTAACAGCTCTATAAACAACCAAACTCAATTTTGAACTAATTTGTTATGAGATTTCGTTTTTATCTTATCTTATCTTAATTTATCAAACATTACATCTTTCTTATCTTTTATGAGAAGAACATCTAATTAAGATAACTTTGACACCCTACACATTTCTTATATATGTGTATGTATTGGTATGTTTCGGTTAAACACCTATGTAGAACTATCTAGAACTATCTAGAACTATCTAGAACTANCATTCAATATGTATATTGTAAAAGATAAAATTCCCGAAAGAGAAATATAAAATCCGGAAATCATATTCTGGAGTAAAGCTCAAAGATAATATATATATTATCTTTGGTAAAGCTACTCATCTTCCTCTCCTTAATACACTCGTTATTCATGATGTAAATATAAAGCAATAAATGTACTTCTAAAATATATTAATTTCTTGAATACAATTGACTCTACAACATTAAGAAAAATCCCCGAAAAGGAATAATCCTTGTCGAATATCACGTTCTAAATTCCTAAGTGTTTACTTTGTCGGTTTGACAATGAAAATGCAGACCCGGAATGTTTTGTAATTTCAGGGTTTAAAATCTAGATTTAATTCTTTTTTTCTAATCTTTTAAACGATCTAAAGTATATCTATATACATGCAGTGTAATAGTATTTAACACTTGAAATCTCTCAACCTGTTCTGATGAAAAATAGAGATATTTAGCGCCGATCAAATCCAAAATACGACATTTGATCTATTCTTGTTTACAAATTCCGCACAGATAGAACTGGTTTCAATATGAACGCAACTGCAACGCAACTGCAATTAACTTTCCTTGCATTATAACCTTGAATATCTAATTCAAACTTAATCAGACAAATCTTTGAAGGGTACCTGTGTGAATCGGGCATTGTCATCTTTGCATGGAGGGTCCCTTTAAATTACCCTTTCATTCAGTCCCTTGAGCAATGAAAATAAGAAACAGAGATTATTTGGATAAATCAAAGATTACGTTTCTTCATCATCTAATCACTGATAATATAAGTTAGATATTTTAAAGCTGGATTTACTGCGTGTTTAAACACTAAGTGGATCTTAACGGTTTTTAAAACTAATTGTCCGAAACTTCAGCTTTCATTTGCATTGTAAACTAAATATGCGTGTGTCATAAACCATCGCAAACCTATCTGTGTAATCTGTAGTTCTAGAACATATTCAAAAACTACATTCACAGTCCGATCTGTGTATTCTGTAAGAACTAGAGCTGACACAATGTGACAACACAACACTCCTGTACTATCTGGTTAAACAAAAACGTATCTTGTATACAATGCTAATCAGAAAGACCCGTAATTAATTTACAATTAATTAGACAACATTACAATCTAATTTTACAAATATGATTGATGAAACAATAATCACAAAATAGCGTTATTCTTGCCATTTCCAAAATGTGGTCTGCCTTTTTTTAGAATATAAACTTTTTTTATCGCCTGATTAGATGTCAATTAATTCCGGCTCTTTCTGAATATGACTGAACTATCTCGTGATTTCTAAGTTACAAGACGAATGGAACAAAAGCCTACTTGTCCTATCTGTGTAATCAGTAAGTACACGGACTAATTTAAAAGTACCGTCTCTTGTCCTATCTGTGTAATCAGTAAGTACAAGGACTAATTTAAANATCCGTCTGCTTATCCGTCTGCCTATGCGTCTGCCTATCCGTCTGCCTATCCTATCAGGTTGTCCTAAAAGTTTCACACTTTATTGGTAACCCTATACATTCAATATGTATATTGTAAAAGATAAAATTCCCGAAAGAGAAATATAAAATCCGGAAATCATATTCTGGAAACAGAGTAAAGCTCAAAGATAATATATACAATATCTTTGGTAAAGCTACTCATCTTCCTCTCCTTAATACACTCGTTATTCATGATGTAAATATAAAGCAATAAATGTACTTCTAAAATATATTAATTTCTTGAATACAATTGACTCTACAACATTAAGAAAAATCCCCGAAAAGGAATAATCCTTGTCGAATAACCCGTTCTAAATTCCTAAGTGTTTACTTTGTCGGTTTGACAATGAAAATGCAGACCCGGAATGTTTTGTAATTTCAGGGTTTAAAATCTAGATTTAATTCTTTTTTTCTAATCTTTTAAACGATCTAAAGTATATCTATATACATGCAGTGTAATGGTATTTAACACTTGAAATCTCTCAACCTGTTCTGATGAAAAATAGAGATATTTAGCGCCGATCAAATCCAAAATACGACATATTTGATGAATTCTTTCGATGTATGGCTTATTTAGGGTTTAACTGTATATAGGCCAAAAAGATACCTTTGTTTACATTTATATAAAACTATATTTGTAAGAATATCAGATTTTGATAAATCATCTCCAATTTGTTGTAAGTATTGCCATTACTATTATTTAAGAAAATTTAATAAAACATATTTTTGCAGATTTTGAACCCAGTGGTAGCTAGATACTAGATAGGATATATTTTAGCACCGATTTATATTGCTAAAACGCATTTTTGCGACCCTATGCCATTATCAGAAGTCTAAGTTTGCATGCTGTGAATATTTGGCACTGGTTCAACAGGTTTCTGGTATTCGCATGATTTTAAATTATCGCGGTCTTACATTGCATGTGCGAATATACTTGAATACCAAGAGGTGTTATAATTTGCGAATAGATTTATATAATTGGAATGATTACTGATAGTTTGCAAGTTTTCAAATCCATTCCAGAAATTCGCGCTGCTTCGTATCCAGAATTATTTTCCATTAACAGATATTAGACGTAAAGTTTCTACTTCTAGGGTGTCATGTCTTATTTACAAAAGGTACCATTACCAAGAAGAAGTGATATATATACATTAAAAAACGCGTCTTTGCCCTTTTGAAACAATTACATATTTTATCTTACTTAATGATAATTAAAAATAGTTGAGCTTGACATAGATGATTTTGGAATATAATTTCCCACGCCCCCCCCCCTCCTTTAATCTTCAGACGTACACCCATATCTGTCCTAGTTCATTCTACTCAATATTTCTAATTTTTTATCAATCTCATCAAATTCA